CCCTTGGTGATGGCCATGGTGTATAAACACAACTGTATGAACTTAGAGAATGCATTTAACTCAAATATTTGCCATAAGAAAAAATAAAGGCTATTGATAATCAAATTAACAGAAAGGAATAATTGCATAATCCAACGGTGTAGCTAACGCTGGAGGAGAGAGTGAAGTAATATTCTAAGCAGTAGTTTCAACGCAGAACCATTGAAATTAAGACATGAATCCCATACATCGGAATATCGAGAATTTAGAAATGTATTGCCACTATATAGAGATTGAGATTTGCCAGAATTCAATTATGAAGAGACACAGTGGGAAGCCACCTCAGACCACTACCATCTGACGGTATATCCAATCATCCATCGAAATATAAGCTGCGAGAACAAGAAATTATAATGTGATTAGATTAGAGCAGACACTGACTTACCAGTAGACAGACGTTAAAAATAATCCAAGAAGTTCCGGAATATTTTAAAAAACGGACGGAGTGCGATAATGGGTTATGCAGAAAACAAACCTCACGAGAATTCGACACAGACTTCAAGCACGCAATATCATAAGCATCACAGTATAGTAGCCACGAAGACGTTTGGACTAACCTATGTAAGCTTCTCTTGGTCAATTAGAAAGACCAAAGCGCTATATTCTCATCCGTACTAAGCCAAATCCGAAACTGAATTTGGTACTGTTGATACCATTTGCACAATTTGAAAAGCTCACCTCGCTTAGGCACCAAACAAATTGACTGCTTTTACCGTACCAGAACCAGTGCAATCTTCTTCTGATCGTCTTGAAAACCAACCACCAACCGAAATGAACTTCAAGATAGAAGATAAGTTTTACCGTCATTAACATTCAATACATAGCACTATGCATACTTCTACACATTACACGTTTGGAACGAACCTGAACACATTATTTGATCATAAAGTGGACATTAATTTCGGTAATACATTTACAGCCCCCTTCCCAGTCATAGAACACAATTCATACCAGCAATAAATGTGAATATTTTCCATTAAGACTATTAAAATCCTTGAACAGATGCGATTTAACGAATATCGACACAGTGTAAAGTGAATTGACGGAAAGGCATTTTCATTTGCCCCAATATTACAGAAAAATTCCAATCGATTGTCCCGAATCCTTGGGGCATTTGGGGTTTACAAATCGAAAACTGTCATTTTACATAAAGGTCACAATAAAACTTTTTGAAAATAGATATAACACAGAATACGAAACAAATTTAAAAACCTCTTTAGCAGAGCAGATTTTGCTGACCCCAAACAGTAGCATGAGATTATACATGATTCAACATCAGTTACACCCACTTCATTCCGAAATTTTAAGAACATAGATGACGCAATACCACGCACCTAATTTAAAGACAAATTAGGTCAAGATGGAGGTTCAGTAAACAGAGGCGTTCTCTCATACTCGCCTTGGATAGTAACGGCATAGTCCCACAGATGAGAGGCTTGAATATCGCTACCCTCTTGTAGTCAGACTCAACTAATAAAATTGATCACTTCGCTCAATGGGCGTGCGCCAACACTGATGACAGTAACTGCGCACAAACGATCCGCCATTTCCGAGCTAAACCTAGATCATCTGACTGAAAACCGGAAATGCAAAACACTAGACACAGATATTAAAATCATTTCATCCACTAATTAACTCGAAGGCAAAGAACACACAAAGCTAAAAAAACTTGGTACCAAGTAACTAAAGGTCAAAGGGAGGGATGACCGGCTTTCTACTCCTAGTCAACTAAAAAGAAGAATGGGGATAGAAACAAATCACCATACATTTCTTCTGTTTTATAATTGTATTTCTCGTCGACAGTACTAAGACTAGGAAACGGCAATTAAAAAACCCAGGCTGTAAACATTTTCTTGTATGAGCTTATGGACTTAACACTTATCACTTCACATAAAATGGAATTGAGTCTAACTACGAACATCAATAGCCCACTCGTAAACATTAATGACAGTATGAAAACTATTTAAAACTGGCTAGACACAAATTATGACATTCGACTTACATAACATTCCAGGCCTAAAATGGGTAAAAGTTGTAAGCTTTACATTGACGTTTCTTACGTTCATGAGGACTAAAATCACAAGTAAAAAATCTTATACAAATTACAACTAGAAACGTTGACATATCTGATTGTGCTAAGAACTGATTATTTAGAGTACTAATTATGAAGGACTGCTCACAAAAATCTCCAAAATAAATGATTTTGAACACAACCCAAACACCTAACTGCTTTGTTCTTCCACGTCGAAGGCTCACTGCTCCGATTGCCATATCTAGGAAGACACAATGCTTACCGTTTTACCACTAAAATTTCTCAACCTTTCCCTCTGCCCAGATCTCCATTCCTTCATCTCTCACGGTTCCACTCTGGTCTACATTCGGGTGATTACGTATCGTTAGCTGGTAAGGAACAGCAGAGCCAAGTCGTTAGTTATCTACAGAACAAACTATACGCCGAGTCCACGGCAAGGCAGTTTAGACATAATCGAAACTTGACAAGCTATGACGCTCACAATAAGATATCCATAAAAGTATAATTAGGCAGTAACAACTAGAGCAACCTTAAGAGAAGTTTTACGAACATAGCCAGATCATGGGGAATTAGTCCGCGTCCACAACAATGGAGAAAAACGAAAACTTTGAACCTTGAGTACAAGATCGAGCTTCACTTTGGTTTGCGGAATAGATGTCCCAGAAATAATTAGCACAGCAAAATAATACGTCAATCTATATTAATTTTGAAACTACTTCCTGCTTTTTATGGAGTGTTAAATAATCGAGTAACTCAATGATTATAAGTGTAACTGCATTGAAAATTCATTTAATCGATTAAAAGCTGGTCTGAATAGGGGTTTCTCAAAGAGAAGCCTCAAATACATTTTAAAAAATATTAAACAACTCTGACTTCTCTACATATTATGACAATCCACAACAGATGCCAATAAGCGACACAGAACAATAACCGAAACTGATTCGATATAACAGCACAGTAAGATAATGAATTAACACCTCTATAGTTTGTCATAACGAAATAACAAATGGCTGCGGAAACCAATATTCTGACCGATCTGATTCAAGAAAAGCTACGAGAAGAATGGAGTAACGACAAAGGAACAAAAATATGCATAATATCCGGATAGTTTTTAAAAACACAATTGTTTTATTTAACAATATTTAGGTAGTTACAAACGTACAGTTAAGAATTATAATCATTGAAAATAATTCATAATAAAATAATACAATGAGAGGTTAACCAGAAAATTTGCGCCATCGGAAGTCACGAATTTGAACAAATCGACCGCAACAGATAAAAACATCCAGAGCACATTGACGAGAGTAAAGTATTGATTTCAAATTATAAGAATCGAATACCATTAATGCCGAGATTTCTCTCCTCAGTCCAGTGTTGTCGAGATTATAACAAAGATGAATGCAACGACTTGGACGAAAGTAACGTTAGGAATAATCATCTGATAACAACGGCACGTCGTACCTTTGGACATCAAAGCCTTCAAAGTAATAATTCTTACGAAACAGAAGTGCTTCGGAAAAAGATAGCGCAAAAGGAAGCGTCTCTCTTTAGCTATTCCAACCTGCTTAGTAAATAAAGCTGCTACTGAAAGTGTCACAATGTGAAACACGTCCAAACTCAATAGTGGGTACAAAATGAGGTACTCCTTTGCAGAAACATTTACACGAAGACTATTCGAACACCTATCAGCTTAGAGAATTTTCGAATAATTCGAATGAACTTAAGCGGCATTAAGGAACAATGGAATCCTATTACTGACCTAATAAGCTAACCTACTTCACCTCCAATAGATCAAGAAAATCAAAATAACTGCACTAGATCACTTTATTGCTTTAAAATGGTTCATTCCAACTCAAGGAAAATGAGTATAAGCATAAATTGGCGAATATGCAGAAGTTAAAACGGGTACTTATGTTGGTGACACGTAGTGTAGAAAAATTTGAAAACACTGGACACTATTTGGGGGTTCGGTCAAAAGATTTAAACACAACGTCCATGTTAAGGAAGATAATAGGATATTATAAACAGAAAAAAACAGGAGATTGATGAATTTGAAGCCGGCAGAAGGATTGACAGGGAGAACCTTTTTTTGGAACTCACCATTTAACGGACGGCATATTCCCGTAAGCCAATTTACTAGAGGGAGAAAAGAATAAACTTTCGTTCACATTTTGACCCTCCGATAGGTTATTAGGTAAGAAAATTATTATGATCTAAATGGAACACGAATATATTTCTCTAATTGTCTTTCTTCGTAAAACTCCCCTAACAATTCAAATCATCCAATCATAAGGCAGCCATATAATTAAATGAGAATTTGCTTGGTTTAATTAAAATTCAGCCCGGAAGTGTGAATCTTTGTAAAATCGAGAAACAGCAATTAGCTTCCTCATGGAGTGGCAAATCAACACTGAGAAGTACCAAAAACATCCGAAAAATACACTATATAAATCGACTAAAAGAAGACAAAGCACACCCAATCCTTGCAACACGAAAAAAGGCTTTAATAACCTAATGAATCACATGAAACACAAAACCAGACAACGGACACATACTAGTTAGACATTTATATTCAGTTCTAATAATTGCCACATCTTCTCATACTTCTATGATTGCGCAATTGACGAGTGGCAAAACTCGAAGATTGGTATTCAGATTATAGTGTATTCTGAGAGCCTTCAAGAAGACTGGAGAAAATAGATCTATAACTTCTTTTTTAGGATTCTTGAAGCAGATTTAGTAACAGGATAAGCGCTATTTACATCCAAAAAGCTACTTGAGCGCGTTCGAAACCAATGAGTAAAAAAGTAGTAAATGCCAACTTGATCAACCAAAAATCTAATTTGCCTAATAGAGATCAGGCAAAGATGACGTAAATTTCCAAACAATAGTTTAAAGTACTTAACTCTTATCATAGTAAGTTCGAGAATCAAGGAACTAGAGGACTTACACGTCGCATGTACATACGGTCCATATCGGAACCACGAGTCATTCCACGAGACCCAGGTGTACGCATGGAATCATTGTTTCCACCTCCTTGGCGAAAACTCCTCTGTCCACTGCCTGGCATACCAGTGCCACCACGCGAGTTGCTGGGTTCGCGGAAACGCTGTCTTGAGTCGAAACCACCAGAGCCTGGTGAACGAGATTGAGTCATTCCAACTCCACGATCGCCTGCAATAGAAAACAAAATTATCATAGGAAAGCAAAATGTTTAAATAATGAAAAAGCTTATAAATACAGGTAAAACAGCTTGTGGAGTAGAATTAAACAGACAGAGCAGTAAGAAATTGAATTCATTTGAATATTAGAAGCATAAAATTGCGCACTCCATCGCAAAAATTAATCGTTTGGTGTTCTACAATACTGTTTCAGAAAATGAACCTAAACTTTAAATGTTCAGTGGTTGGTCAATCCATCTTGTTTTAAGGAAGAAAAGCTCACTTGACCCAACTTTAATAGTTGGATAATAAATCTAAGCAAGAAAAAACCGTAAAATTTTAATTTATTAACCTCTTATATAATGGAGGCATAGGAACTAACATTCATATTCGCTTCTCTCATACTCCCCAAATACCTTATGTCGCCGACCACAAAAATATCGTAAATGTGCTAGCAAAAATGGAAGGAAAGACGAAACCTATTACACAAAACGGAGATGTAGGAAGGAAAATTTAAGCAAATATTAAAGGACAAACGGAACCATCACTATCGATGCCTAAAGTTCAGGATATAAAGGAATACAACAAAGTTCTAAATTGCGCATTAAGTAGTACTACAAAGTTTTAAGTACCTTAATTTCGATGCACTGTTATTATCTCAAGCCGGGGAATTGATTTTGTTAAAATTCATTTTAATAAAGCTAAAGAAACACACTTAAAGAGATTACACCAAAAGGATTGTTTTAGCTCAATATAAACGAGAAGACAATATTATACCGATACAGAACAAGGAGATTTGATAAAATCATCAGAAAAAATGGTTTGTAAGATTTCCTGATTTTTCTTAAAGGGGCTCAATACATACACAGAATAATACTCCGGATAAAGGCCTGATTGCTGGGAGTTCAGTGGCTAAACAAGGGGCCTGGTAGTCGTAAATACCGGCTAGAGCAAATCAATGTTGTTGGTCAACACATTACACATAGCTTATTCCAATCGTTGTTGAAGTAATCAGAAATTTCTCGCAAGCAACAGAATTAAACCAAACTCTTGGCTGATGACACAATCGAAGACTTGGCAATTAGTTTGTATGACATGAGAAATGTCTGCTGAATTTTAGGCGCATTTCCAACCGGAAAATAAACAGATTGCGATTTAGTAAAATGTAGCAAGTTGCTCACAAGTTTCTCTGCTTTTAGTGGGAGAATTTGAACATTGTGATGTTTGTATGAATTTGCAAATAGTTAACGTTTTCATTGAGCACATGTTTCGTTCCTTAGGCTGAAACAATCAATCGACAATGGTGACAATCAACGAATTGCCACACAAGGCTGCTCAAGCGCTTTTTATACCAAGTTTGGAGAAAATCTGATTTACAAGAGCAATCGAATCAGATGGTCTGCTATATTGCTTTCCTAAAGTCACTGGAGTCCAATAGGCTCCATTTAAATTATCCAATTCGTGCCGATTATCAAGGATGGCACAATACATTATGGAAGTTAGTTGCATTTATAATTCAAATCGATTCCAGTCACACATCGTCGTTTTGATCACGTATACAAAGGGTGGAAATGTTAAAGGAAGCGCAGAATGTGTGAACACATTTAAAGCACTTTGAAAAAGGAGCCAAATACAAAACTGTTAAATTCAACTCGAACAACTTTAACCCATTGGTACAACAAAAATGATAAAAAATTGAAATTAACACAATTGCATTAAACAAATTCGAATAAAAACTTTAGTCTACTTTAATTGAATGAAGACTAAGGGAATGCTTGAAAGAACCCATCATTGATATATATCTCGATTACGAATGAAATTGCATCAAGGCCGTGCAAATTGGCCTCAACACCATCAAGGTGAAACATTCTTCTGATCATATGAGAATTCGCTCAAATCGAAATCAACTAAAGACTTACCGTATGGATCACCACTACCGCCACCGCCGATAGGTGGGTTCGGCAATCCAACCATTGGTCCTCCAGAATAAGCATTCATTCCAGACAAGTCCTAAGAAAACAAATTACAAGTTATATTATACCTATAAAACTAATTAACAAATCAAGAGTATTACACGCACCCTATTGAGACCCAGAGAAGAGATGGCCTGGGCAATTTGTTCCTGTGGCATACCGCCAGCAGCAGCAGCCATCATAAGTTGTTGGATTGTCGAATTTTGATCTCTGGGACGATCACCACCATAACCTAAAGAGAAGCACGATTTCTTTAATAAGAAATACTCCTTTCAATAAATTTCAGATTATAAAATAAGCGTCAAATGAAAATTTCATAGAACAATATTGGATTAAATAGGATAGAACATTAAATACATATCTAAAAATTCGTCAATAATAATAATATTTTGGAAAAAAGCAACATTTTCGGTATAAGCATTTCTGATACAAGAAACTGAGTTAGAAATTTGTAAAAGAACCTGCTGCCGACGAATTATAAATTTACCGTAAAACTTCACGATATACACAAATACAGCCATTCTTGATAAAAGACACAAGTCCAACTATACTTTATGTAAATCTCAGAACTAGTGTCATGTAAAAGATTGCACTATTCAAAATAAAAATACTAAAGACCACTACCATTCTACTGATAAATATAACATCCTCCTGACCAACTAATAGCCTTCATATAAAAGCGAATCGCCCATTTTTACCGCTGTGATAAATGGATGATAAAGGTTAATAAATTAACTTAATGGGATATAGTTTACCCATATTTTGGTTCTGATGGAATCCACCAGCAGAAGCAGCACCGAGGAGGCTTCCCATGATATCCCGTTGATTAGGTGGAACAGGCATTCCACCACTATTTGTTCCCCCCATTAGTGCTGCCATAGCAGCAGCGATTCCTTGATTCGGTCCCCCGCCCATCTGTCCCTGCTGTGATTGTTGAGGTGGGGACATGAAATTCGAACTCGGAGGGGCACCATAAGGCGATTGTTGCTGTGGTTGCATAGGAGGCTGACTAGTGCCTGGTGGGGGTCCAGAATTATTACCAAGGTTCATTTTGCTAAAGTACGTCATAAACCCGGATGCTATTGCAGCCCCCTTCGGTGGAGGTGGGAAGATTGGCATGTTGGATGGGGCTATTTTACCGTCACGATCAATTTTTATTCGAATTGGACGGTCGTTAATTGTCTAAGAGTACAACGAACTATTAAGGAAAATTGATAATCAAAACTCCGGCTTCCCATACAATCCAGTACAATATATCAAGCTAAGGATAACGTAATAAACTATAAGTAGAGGAAAAATGACACTTATTTTCCCCCTAACATCACAAAATTTTAAATTTTCAGTTCCACATTTTTCCGATTTGAAAATATTCAAACGAGATTAAAGTGTTCCCTAAATCAATTGGATCCATACAAGCCCCAAACGAAAAGAACAAGGCCTGTTGTATGGATGTAACTATTAAAATAAACCAAATGAAAAAGGGAGGTAATCAAAGTTATATTAGAGGCCAAGCTTGTACATGACAGTCAATGACAAGTTGCTGACTCCGAAATATATGAAACAACCACTTCGGTCAAATCTTATGACGGTATCATTAAGGTTGTATACCCTTATGTGCACGGATATTTTATGTGTAATAACTTGAGGTTATGTAGTTAAAAATTGAAGAGATCATTTAAGTGCCTTAATGGCTCGCACCGACTAAAGGCGCTAAAAACTGATCTGCTCCACCAAATCGAAAAAAATGAACAAGGCTACAAAGGAAAGAGCCATAATAACAGTTATTTAAAGAGGAATACTAAGTTTGTTAGCTATGGGTATTATGCTGATCATATAAATCAAGTTCCTCGACAAGTAAAGGTCAGGAAAGTAAACAAAACAAAATTACTGAAGATAGGAAAACCAAAAATTGCAAAAGAAAACAGTTACCGAAAGAATAAAAAAACAGAACCTGGCGTTTGAAATCATTTTCGCCTTAACCCACTTGCAACGATAAACCTTGGGGTTGAAAATGAGTGGCAGCAAAGACAAAAATCAATCTAATTTTACACAGGACACATTTCCACCAATACGAAAAAAGTAACCCAGACAATTGAAGTTCGAAAAATACTTCATACCAGTCAGCATTCGTTCATTAATCCAAAACAATGGACTTAACAACCATGTAGGTGGTACACTGTCAATGCAAATCAAATATAACGACTGTAACAATACAGGCTAAATCGAAGCTCCAGTGAAATTAGTACATTCCATCAAAACGCAACATCATAAGGCAATTGAAACAAAAGATAAACACTTAACCATACTCTAAAATAGGAGCACTGACCACACAAAGAATAAAACAGATACTAAAACCCGAATGGAACAATTATTTATTCATTATTTAAGATCAAATGAAAAAGCAAAGGTGTTTACACGTATAAAATTTTATCTCACAATCCTTTCTTGCATATAAGATGAAAAACTTCAATTTTACACGTACCCCAAACAACATTTAATTCAAGAAGAAACCATTGTAGGCAAGCACGAACAAAGATAAAATCACGTATTCGGAGTAGATAATAAATTTCAATATCATATGAAGCTTGAATATATATTATACCTGTTCAAAAATGTGAGATAACAAAACCAACGCAATTGTAAAAGAATTAATAGCTTCACTAAAACTTACGTATCCGTTAAGCATTGCCCACGCAAAAAGAGCCTCA